CCTATCTGCTCCAGCTTGTCAGTGCTAAGTGACCAGGGCATCAGGCTGAGCGCCCGCTGCGCCTGTCGCAGGAACCACGCACCGGACTCGAACTTTACAGGTCTGTATAACGTCATTGTACTTTTACCACATTTTAAATAGTATTTATACTAATATTATAAAGAGGAAAACTTTGTGTATTTGATTGTAATGAATAGGTTCAAAAACTACTGGGCAGATTTAAAAAAATATTTTACCGTTAGAAAGATTATTTATCTCCGAGTAACATAGGCTATATTTTTCACTTCTTCATTTTTTTTTAATTGCACACGGACGGAGTCGCGGGAAAAGCTACACTACATATAATATTAACATCAACCCCTATCAGACTATAATTAATGGAATTTTAGTGAATTTCTTTTAGCAAACATAAAAAATGTTACAATACAATTCTTCGTGTTTTTTTGCGTTTTATAGTCACGAATTATGGAAAAATAGATGATTATTACGCTATTATTAAAATATTACGTTATTTTAATGATCAAACCACGACCTAGATTGAAATGTCATGTAAATGATAAAACCAAACCTCGTTGATTAAAGCACTTGACTTGTAATCTAGAGATCTTGGGTTCTAATCCCGCCATGTACCAAAATGATTTTCGATTTTTCGAATTTTCACATGTACATAATTTACTCGACGTTCTTACCGTGAAGGAAAACATCGTGATGCAAGCTGCACATATTAGCGAAGAAATTTAAAGATATGTGTGAAGTCAACCAACCTGCAGTAGGCCAGCGTTGACTATAGCCTAGTCACCTCTAACTTAAGGTAGGCTCCGAGACCCTCGGTGGGGACGTATATGGTGATGATGATGACGTCTACTTACTTGTGATGGTGACACACGCAGGGCACCAGGCCGCCCTCACTATGACCTCCGCATTGCACGCACACCCTCGGCTTAGCAGAGGCGGTTATGCTTCTTTGTTTACGTTTTCTATGAATCTCTTCATCTCTGTAAAAAACATATAATTTTATTGACTGTGTACTAATATTACTGTATTTAATATTTGCCGTATTACCAACGCTATGGGCGAGATTTCTAAGGCGTCAATTTTTACCATGCTACAGGTTACGTGAGACTCTAATTCTTAGACCTATGACGGCCTTTTCTGTCCACGATCTAGTCCTTCAATTTGACCAGTGTAAAAGTTCTTTATCTGGATAATCCAGTTTAGTTAATTACGAAACATTAATTTATATTGGCAAACATTCGCTTGGACGTGGTGTTTTCAATTGCATTGGGTAATGGTCGCTGCAGCGCGGGTCAATGACCTTTATTGCACAATCGAGAGTAAAGCTACCATTGTATTGTTTGAACTCGACTCAATCTCAATTTAAATTAAATTAACTAGATTGATGTCTTAATTGTATTGTGTTTGTTCACATTTATTGTATTGTATATATCAGTAGTAACAATATCTAATGCAAAAACATGATTATGTTTATTTTATTAAAAAAATACTTTGTAAATTCAATTATTATTTATGAGTAATATAATATGCATACGCATATAATCCAAACAGATAATAAATTAATATTCATCATTAACTACACAATAAAAGATAATGAAACAAGAAGTTAGATTCGACAAAAAAAATCACAAACTTTCGAGATTTCTTCACTTAGTAGGGGTCAGGAAAGTTGAAAAATTTTCCGTCTCGTACAAATATTACCAAGAACCCTTTAATATATCAATTATGACACATGATTCCTGTGACATAATACAGTGATAGACGCCAGCAACATCTGTTACACGAATGGCTTGTATCCCTCTCTGCAATACCACAACCACACAGAAGACATGAGTCAAAAAGAAGCAATTCCGCCTTTCATTTGTTGAGTGTGGTTGTTGGAGGCCTTTTAGGCATCCAGACCAGTATTTTTATATATTCGGTTTGGCTATAAGAGTGGAAATCTACGGTTGTCTTTTGGTCAGGGGCGATTGTTTAGACGTCATTAATATTTTATCAAATAATGTAAACAGAGCTACATTGTGTGTACTTGAGATGTGACGTAAAGGTTGTTGCTAAGGGCATTGGTGTGCATCTTGATTATCTACATAATTATTTAAATAGGATAGGAGTACATACTTTAATTACTTGTAGAAAACATATCGCTATCCCTTTTTTCCCAAATACAGTGGGAGGGATGCTTAAATTTTGATACTAGAGTTAAGACAGTGTAATTCCTCACTAATGTATTTTTAAGTTTTGTTGCATAAAATTCGATACACTGGTTTATTGTAGGATTTTTTGCTGTAATTTTCAATTGTTTTTTATTTTCATCTTGACAAAAATGTAGGTTCCACCGAGATTTGAACTCGGATCGCTGGATTCAGAGTCCAGAGTGCTAACCGTTACACCATGGAACCGACGGTGGATAAGGGCTAAAATTGTAATGACTTTGTTAAAAAAGGCGCGTGTTTTTTTATTAAACGTCAATTAGAAATTCTGCACGCATTTTACCTCAACTCTTAATATTTCCGGGTGTTAATATCTGTTTAAAAAAATCTTAAATTATTAAGCAAATGAATATTCATTTTACCTTTATCTGTAAATACGGAAGGTTTTAAGTGAAAAAACCAGCTTGTAAAAAATGCTGAAGTGAATTTAATTGCAGTTTCTAAAAATCCTTTTGCATGTAATGTGATGCGGCCTTCATATTGTATCAGTAAAATACATTAAAAGCAAACTGTGAATAAAGTAACAATAATAATAAAAAATTTAATGCGTGAATTTTATTTATAAAATTATCGTTATAATATCATTGAAGATTCTCTTCAAAATATTTAAATTATATGTGTCTAATTTGAGAAAAACTATACAAGCGTTAATTTTATATTTTTTGCGTGATACATGAAGGACAAATTCTGTACGGATTTCCATATTCACAATGACGAATATTCTGGATACCATTTCGTCAGTTTACACTGGGTAACATTTGTACACAAACATTTTAGTATTTCTATCTGAATACAATGAAAGGGCCTTTTGCTCCGTATTCCTTACCACGGCTTAAGGCGCGATTGCATATCTTTGGAAGGAACAGGATTTCTACAAAGATTTGATTCGTGATATTTTAGTATGTGTATCTTCAGTCCTTTTACTCTCTCGTGGAACAGAATCACTTTTGGACAAACTTTTCTCGATAGATTTATTTTCTACTCCTTCCCCCCAAAAAACGCAAATTGTAATGCAATGAAAGGGCGTTTTGCTTCGTGTTTCATATGGCTTAATTCTCAATTTGCATTATCCCAGTTGTAGTCCAGTGATTTTTGTCGCTGGACTGGAATTATAAACTTTATTACTAAAATCATGCAGCTTTTGTTTTCCCCAAATTAGTCATAATGTTAATGAACGCGAATTTCTTGATCCGTGAAACTGAATTCATTTGTTTTTCATACAAAAGACTCGTAAAAAGCGTGCATTTTAAGTTTTTTTTACTAATGGTGTTTTACATTGGGGACAAAATTAAAATGATCTGTATTTGCATGATGTAATTTCTGTCGTAACATAAAATTTAATATGTACTTAAACACAATATTAACAAAACATTTTATTAATAAGATATAATTATCTTTATCGATGTTTACAACAATGTAAAGTATATATTATTTTATTGAAAAATTGTTTACATTCACGTGGATTCAAAATTAAAATCTTTCTTAATTAATGCGTATTCGTTTAAACAGGAAAGGAAATATTTTAATCTGTTTAATTCAGATTAAAAATTTAATTATACTTTAAATTCATTTGCAAAAATAACATTTAATTCAGGATGTTGCATCTTAGAATGTAATGAGACAATTTATATTTGACAGGAAATTCTTAGTCCAGAAGTACCTAGCTGTTCCTTTCACTGTCAGAGTCGATAGCAACATTGTAACCTCTAGGGCGTAATTGTATTAAATCTGGACTACCATTGGCCATATCATGTGTGAAATGAATTGAAAATTGTCCCTTTTTAACAAAATAAATCAGAAAAACCTTGTGTTTACAAATGTTAAAAGATTAACGAAGTTAATCGGAACATTAGTAAATGTGGAAGATTCAAATTCAATATACATAATTGAAGACGTTGTTAGAGTCAGGTAATATTTATTATTGGCTCGAGAATTATCCCTTTAAAAGCAATTAACTTTTTTTTTGGAATATAATGGCAAGGGTGTTTTTATTGTATTTCAGATGACTTTAATAAAATTATTTAGGTGTTTATATTGTCTAATTACTATGTTTTTACTTCAACTGAGAGCTTTTTGGACATATTTGATTAATTCTACAACATAAGTTCTAATTTGTATTTAAATCTATTAAATTTTTAACGACTATCTGTCTTAAATTATTTTACTTAAAATTAATTATATTGTACCCATTTTTACATGTTTACTAATTAATTTTAACATCAGTCCTTCACTTAACACTTTTCATATTTGCGTTTAACGAAACTGTTGCAAAGGATATCGAAGAGAATCAATTGTGACATATAATGTTCACTTGCAAAACACAACACTTTCGACATTCAATCGTCATCCATGTCGAACCACATGGAGGTGACGCTCCTGGAACCCTGGTCCCTCTGCTCCTCCGTGATGATCTTCAACACAACAACCTCCATCATGCATAAAGCAAAGAATATCACAAATATTGCGAAATTCGACCCCTGATGATGGAACTGGAAGGAACTGGGCATCGGTCCAGGCGGGGGCCACGCAGCGACGTACGTGGCCAAGGTAGATACTCCAGATAATGCCATCTTGATTCAAACCATCTTTGTATTTCGTATTCGCGTTACGCACGTTGTATTCGCATTGATTCGACAATACCACCGTCTGCGCGCGGTCTCGTGTCGTGTGGGCAACTGGCGCTGGCAGTGCAATGCTTATCGCAGCCGCAACGCACTGCACCGCCGCCGGGCGTCGCGTGTCGTAAGCGGCTATCTTATGAAATATGAATCGTTTTAGTTAGATTCCCAGCGTTGGGAAACGATTGAAATGCGGGTGAGCGCAACCGTTTTGCGGTCAAGGCTGCGCTAGCCGGGTGTCGAATGCGCTGACCTTTACTCGCGATACATACGCTAAATCGGATATGCGGTCTTATTCTTATCGCCTATTGTTTCTCTTTGATTATATTAGAAACTAATTGCTGCTACGGTGAGCCACTTCTTTTAAATATTTATTGCTTTTAAACAATTGCTGTTTGAGAATTAATTTTTAATGTGTTACAATTAATATATTCGTTTAAGTTGTAAATTGAGAAGTCTGAAACTCTAATCAAAATGTGTAGGTAATACACATCATTGTTTACTATAATATTTCCCCTACATACTCTAATATTACTACTGTATTTCGCATCCACATAAACACGTTATAAAATCTTGCAACAGTAAGTATACAGATGATAAAATTTAGAAAGGTTTGTGTTGGTAAGTTGTAGTTAGTCTTCTGATAGAACACTAGTAACATTATGAAATGGAACAACATATTGTTAGCTTTTTAAATATTTTGTTGTATTCTGTATTCTTGAAGGTTACTTCTTTTATATATTTTATTAAAGCATAACATGGCTGTGACGCTCATAATATGGATGAGGATAAGAAAATGTTACAGAAATATCAAGAACATAATGTCTTAATTGTCTCGGACCGAATCATACAGATGCCAATACCTAGAACGTTATTTGTGATTAATTTACCATCGATTTAAAGAAAGTTTAAATACTAATTAAACAAGAAAGCAATATTGTATAACAGTATTAATATTTTGCAGATTAGTCATACGGCGTCAACATGTTCTAATCAATTCAGGTCATTCGAGTATTACCTAGAGACATTTCCTTTCCAGGCAATAAATAGGTTATCAATGATAAGATATTAACAAAAATAAAACTATGAGAAAGTTTCCTAACGCTTAGAGCGTTACTTTCATGTTTGTTAAAATAAATATGTAAATTGTTAGTTAATTTAAAAACGGAATCGATTAGTTCGTTGAACGATAACGACCTTGACACGATTATTTAGACGTGTGTGAATATTAATGGATTTGTATAAGTATGATATTATATCAATTACAAATTAGTTGCTTATGATAAACTAACTTAAAAATTATTGGATTTTATGCGCCTTATGTTTCGTTAACGAAACGCTATGTAACTATTCGTCTCCGACATTTAAAAATGGACACGCTGAAAACCATGATATTTTGTGTCTATTTGAGTGTCGCCATTTTAGTTTGATGGCAGTGGTGGGTAGCGTTGGTCAGGAATCGAAGTAATAACAGATACAGAATTAACAGTTAAAGCAACAAAAAAGGGAGTTCAAGATAGAAAGAAGCGAATGCTGTTATATCCGAGCAACGACCTATCCATTTGTTGAGATCAATGTCACCGACGTGAGTTAAACATAAGTAAAACCTTTTTGCTAAATGTCATTGTCATTAAAAATGTCAACACATTTTAAATATCTTTCAAACGTTTTCGTTGCAATAAAAATATGTTTATCTATTTAATTTATAGAGATGAACCAGAACTATCTTATTCTTTAGTGAGGAAACGGTCTTCTGAAATAGAATTAGACTCGTCAATGGAAGAGACGTTACTCCTCAACCCTGACTGCCATGTGAGGGTGATGTTGGAGTACATTAGGAAGAAATGCAAGCTCGGAATCTACACGCACTTCGATCTTTGTGATGAGGACGGGGTTTTAAAGAAGTTGTTTAGTCTACCACCTTATACAAACGGAGCGGAGTACTTCGAGCATAGGAAGACGTACTATGTTATTGTATTACAGGTCTCTGTGATATCAAAATGAATAGTAGATAGATTTATGAATTAAATAACCCATGAACTACAGATATAGCATAGACGTTCAACACGTAGACAGGACTACAGTAATCAAAGTGTTTACGTCCTCTTCTTAAGCTGTTATTTTGCTATGTCGTTCGTGAACTAAGTGTTTGTAGGGGAATATTTGGAATGTCCGCTCTATGTTTAATTTAGTATTAATCTTTAACGATTATAGTGTAGTTTTATATTCAGTTTACTTTCATTCTACGTTTGTCACTTCCAGTTTATTTTGTAATGAGTGAGCGGGCTTCTGAGGGCCACATCCAGTAGCCAGTAGTGTCGTTGTGCAACATATTGCTTAGCCCTCGCCACTTCGGAGGAGTTTGCAATGTGACGTGCGTTGCGACAGGATGCCAAGGCTGACACTCTCCGAGTTTAACTCTGAAATGATTCAAATGTCAGAGTAATTGGCATTTACTTTCAAAAAACAAGCTTCTCGTCATATACAATCCCAGTTGAGGTTATGTGAATAACTGCTTTCTAGATAGAAATATCTAACACTAGTTGTTGCTCGCGACTTCGTCCGCGCAATAAATAGTAAAAAGATATAGCCTATGTTACTCACACACAAATTACTTTTCTAACTGTGAAATTATTTTTAAATCCGGCCTAGTAGTTTT